GTTTGGGGTTTGGGTTTTGGGGGTTTCGGACCCCCCACCCACTCCAAATGCCTGCGGCTCAGGAGTATACCTTAGATCAGAGGGGGGGATCCTTCCCATGCCTCAAGGTACCCAGACGGTTTAGGGTTTAGGGCTCCAATATCCCTTAATTAAGGAATGTACCTTAAATCATATTAAGGATCCTACTATAATTTAAGGAATATTCCTTAATTAAGGGATATTGGAGTCTCTGGGTATGCCAGGCTCTTAACGGATTTTAACCCTAAGCCCTGAACCCCCAAACCCTTTGGAGGTTCTAGGAAGCGTGTTTGGCAGGGATGGGTTTGCGGAGACTTCGGGGTTTAGGCGCGCAGGAATAGACCTGAGGTTGATGAGGGTTTGGGGTATAGGGTTTAGGAGTGTAGGCGTTTTAGACATATAATAGGGTTTTGATAAATTTTGGTAGGAGTTATATCAAGATTTTCAATCAAGTTTTCATGGTGCCTTGCAGCTAGGTTCTAGAGTACATGGTGTGTCGGATTTAGGATTTAGGGTTAGGAAGTTAGGGCGTTGGGTGTTTATGGCTTTGGTGCGGCAATGCAGGCCTATCGTTAATGAGCCCTCCTTCTAAAAGGGCCTCAATATTAGGATCCCAGTCGCCTTCTGAAGAGAGGGGGTTTATGAATCAGGTGTCGACATGACTATGAACTCCAAGTCCTATTTCCCAACCCTACATCTTAAACGTCTTAAGCATTGGGCTCACAGGCCCTGACGACAAGCCCTAGGCTGATAAACCCAACCCCCAAACCCCTAAACCTCTAAACCCAACACCCTAAACCCCAAACCCTAAACCCTAAACCCCAGACCCCTAAGCCCTAAACCCTGAACGGCGTGAATGAGTGCTGTCGTTTGTGCTTCCAGTTGGCTGGCTGTTTTTCAGTGACGCATCCTGATGTGCACGCGTGCCAAGAGATCTTCAACAAGGTGCCGACCCTGTTGGCGACCCTTCGCAGGCTTGGGTTGGACGACGAAACTTGGATGGCCTTCTCAAGCATGGTGTCAGCGGGATACTCGGATCGTCTTCATTTCATGGCTTTGTCCAGGAAGCGGTCGGCCAGGTCCAACATCCCACCTGGTACAACGCGAACGCGTTCGCCAGCTCGTGGGTTCGCGACCAATGGGAGAACATCATTGAAGGCAGCCTAAACCCTAAACCCTAAACCCTAAACCCTAAACCCCTAAACCCTAAACCCCTAAACCCTAAACCCTCGGTTGGCACAGAGTCGGATGATTCGTTCTGAGTGCATCCTTGAGGAGAGGACCTTTTGAGCTTCTCGGCGTTTGGAGACAGGCCATAGCTAAACCCTAAACCCTAAAACCGAAACGCTAAACCCTAAAACAACCCTAAACCTTTAAACCCTTAGCAGGCCGTAGCAGGCTCCAAAGCACCCGAGCTCTTACTCCTGAGCCCTAAGCCCCAAAACCCTAAACCCTACAGCGCAAATCCCCAAACACCACCCCCCAAACTTTTAGGGTTTAGGGTTTGGGGTTTAGGGTTTAGGGTTTAGGGTTTAGGGTTTAGGGTTTAGGCCTAAGACTCTACAACCCAAACCCTGAACAAAACAGCCCAAAACTTAGAACATTAAACCCCGAACCCTAAACCCCCTACCCTTAAACCCTCCAAACAACCTCATGTAGAAGCCGGAACAAGCACCACAATTATCTCTTAGGGTTCCTAAGTCTACCCCAAGACCTGATTTTAATTCTGAACACCCCGACATCAAACCCAAACCCTTTAAACCCTAAATCCTAAACCCTTAAACTCTTACCCCTAAACCCCTAACCCTTTAAACCCTAAACCCTTGAACCCTTGAACCCCAAACCCCAAACCCTAAACCCTAAACCCTAAACCCTGAAACCCTAAGTCCTAAACCTAAACAAAAAGCGGGTGACCTTTCCGAGGAGCTACCGAAGGCTCCAGGTGGCAAGTGCGCCCTTCCGGAGGCTTCCCCCTTTGGGTTTGAGCTGCGGTGCTACAGGGCTTTGGGATTTAGGGGATGTAGGGGTTTTGCGGTTCAAGGTTTAGGATTTCAGGGTTCAGGCTGACACCATAAAATCCTGAACCCCAAACCTGCGTAGGACTTGGGAGCAGCAACAAACAAGCGATGCCACACTGCGCTTCCTTCCTTCCCAAAATTTGTTGTTTGAAGCAACTTCTTTCTGTGTCGCCTGGGGGCAAGCACTGAAAACATCTGAAAAACACGTTCAGCCGTGAGCCCTGCTGTGAACCCGCCAGAACCTGAAAGAAGACACCACACACACCTTCTCATTTTAGGTTTTAGGGGTTGCAGTTACAGTTTGGTTAGGGTTTTAGGTTTCCTAAACCTAAAACCCCAATGCTACTAAGCCGTACCACGGCCCCCCCCTACGACCAGGGTGCCTTCTGGCTGCTGCTGACAGGGGAAGTCCCCACAGCGCTGGAAGTTCAGGCCTGGATTTCCAAGCGGGTTTTGTGTTCAGGGAGTACGTTTAAGGGATTGTGGGTTGATTCGGGGTTAGGGTTTAGGGGTTTAGGGCTCAGGGGTTCCGGGTTTAGGGTGACCACCATGGTGTTCGCAAGCGTTGTATGCATTTTTGATAGCTTCAGTTGTAAGTCATACACCTTAAACCCTAAACCCCGAAATCCTAAATCTTCAGTCATGGAATCCGATATATAAGCTTAAACAAGTACTATATTGTTTTTGAAGGTTCCTGGGCTTAGGATTTGGGGTTTAGGATTTTGATTCGGGGTTTAGCGTTTAGGATCAAGGGTCTTTGGATTTCTGTCTATCATCATATTTTGATATATTCTATTGGGTAAGACTAACCCAAAACCCTATACCCTTAACGCCTCAGCCCTAAAACCCGAAGCTCTAAACCTAAACCCTAAACCCTATACCCTTAACCCCCAAAGCCTAAAGCCCTAAACCCTAAATCCTAAACCCTAAACCTAACACCCTTAACCCTAGACCAGAAAGTCACAAGGGCCCCAAATTATGGTTTAGGGTTTAAGATGAACCCCTTGCCCGAAGGACCTTGGTGTAGCAGGGTTTTTCACCCTTGTCAAAACCTTATGAAACCCTAAACGCTAAACCCTTTAGGGTTTAGGGTTGAGGGTAGTCTCTGATCCCTAGACCCTAAACCGTAAATCCCAAACCCGATCCCTACGCCAGGGCTTGACGGAAGAGTTGCACAAGCGCGCAACAATCCCGCCGAATCTCGGGTTGCCATCGCATCGAAATCTAAACTCTCGAGGCATTAAGCTGCTTGGTTTAGGGTTTAGGGTTTAGAAAACCCTAAACCTAAACCCCAAATCCTAACCCCTTAACCCCAAACCCTAAACCCTAAAACCCCAAACCCTAAACCCTAAACCCTAAAACCCTAAAAACCTAAGACCCTAAACCCCTAAACCCGCGGCTTCTGCGGGGTTTGTTTTTGGGTTAACTCCGGTTAGCCTTGATAAAGGTTCAGGGTTTAGGGTTTTAGGGTTTATGGTTTAGGGTTTAGAGTTACCGGGGATTTAAGGTTCAGGCCATGGGGTTCAAGTTGTAGTAGAATGGTGATGTGGCTCTTTAGCAACAGTGCTGTCGCCTAAAAATAAGTAGTGTAGCAACCCCCAATGACTAGGTGGATGTTGAAGTTGTTGGGCTATTTCTCACACATCTCAGATTTAGCATCCAACTCGACTCTGCCGTTGTAGTGCAGACCTAACCAGCCATGCGAATTCCGGCTCCCCTGTGAGGTTGATTGAATAAAAAACTAGAGAGTTGTGTATTGACTGGAATCTAGGCCCCTAGGCCCTAAACTTAAAACCTTATCAACGCTGTTGGAATGGAGGGGTTTCAAAAGGCCCAATGGTATACTTATCTCCTCCATCTCCAATCCTAAACCAAAAAAATCTAAGCTGGGCATTCAAAAACGCCTGAACCCAAACCCCGAGATCCTGAACCCTAAACCCCAAACCCTGAACCCTACACCCTAAACCCTAAACCCTAAACCCTAAACCCCTAACCCTAAACCCTACACCCTAAACCCTACACCCCTAGACCCTAAACCCGTAAGGAAAGGCCTGCCGGGGTCCCTCCCGCTCGCAGTTGCTTCTGGCAGTAAGGTGCAGGGGTCAGCGTGTCGAGTTTAGGGTTAAGGGTTTTATAGAGTCTAAGGTTGAACCCATGGGCCCCTAACATGGGCCCTAAGGGGATTCTAGGGTCCCTTAAGGGTATATATAGGGTTTTTAGTAGGTATATTAGGGTCCCAGAGTTAAGGGCCCATACTAGGGGCCCATGGGTTCTACCTTAGATAGAGTTTGGGGTCGCAAGGGTGGTCTAGGATCGTTGATGGTGGTTGGGAGTTCTGAAGAGGGCGGGGAAGAGCAAGTCGCAAAGCCGGGGTGCGGAGTTATATCGCGTAGGTGTAGAGCTGTAGAGCCACTTACCGTGACAACTTCTGCTCCTGCTACTGCTACCACTAGCACCGAACTACGATTACAAGTGCTTTTCTGCAGCTTCTGAGCTACGCCCAAGCCTTGCAAAGGAATGTGATGGCAACGATTGACTCGCTGCCCATCGAGACGCACCCGATGACGCAGCTTTCCGTCAGCATGCTGGCATTGCAGAAGGACCACGGACGACGGGTTTGCTGTTTGGGGTCTGGTGTGTAGGGCTGAAAGCCCCAATTCAAGGCCTAAATGACTGGTGGTTTTTGGTCGGGAGATTGTGGAGGGATTAAAGCCCTCCTCGAAGATTGTGCTTGGAAGTTCGAGTTACGTACAATCGACTTTACAATACAACCGAGGCTGAATTCCTCAAGCGCTGTGGTACACACTGTGGGGTTCTTACGTTCAGGGCAACAGGTATTACTTAGCGTTCCCTGCGCCCGCAGAGGCGCACCGCTGTGGCACAAGGCATCTTATTCACCGTGTCACGGTGCGGCCGCGTCCTCCGCAATGCATGTTTCGTTGTAAGTTGTATCACATGGACCTTGCTTGGAGCCTCGAAATGCTCCCACCAATACATTGGGGTGCGCATGCATGCACGGAGTATATCCGCAGGGGTGCTCGCGATGTACTCGCTCTATGGTACTTCACTATGCAGGCATAGTTGTACTGATAAGCACATGCAGCCTTTCCTATATATGAATATATACATACAGATGTACGCACATGTACACATATATGTTGGTACATGTACCGGCTGGTATAGAGATTAGTATACATGTACATGCTTATGTGCACGTATGTGTTTGTGTTTACATGCACACACAGACAGCCACACACACCGACACACATACATATATATATATATAAATAAATGCATACACACACACACACACTTACTGTATGTACCAGCCCCACTATGCTGACCTAGGTTATAGTCACAGTGCAGCACGTACAGTTGGATTGGGTTTAAGTAAGCTGGGGTGTGCCCCAATCCAACCCTGCAAGCGCAAGACGTCCAACCTCCAGACCCCAGCAGATTGGGGGGTTCCAGAGTTTGGGGTTTAGGGTTTAGGGTTTTAGGGTTTTAGGGTTTCAGGGTTTAGGGTTTTAGGGTTTAGGGTTTTAGGGTTTGGGGTTTAGGGTTTAGGGTTTAGGGTTTAGGCTTCATACAGAACCTTTAAGCTTCTACGAACACTACCGTTTAGGGTTCCTTTTTGGAATGACATCATAATTTTACCTGCGAAACCCTCTTCGGTTTATTACGCCTTCCCACACTATATGAAGCTAACAACTGAAGCCCTCAACCCTAAACCCTAAAGCTGAAGCCGCAGGACTCCAAGTTTGCGCAGAAGTATAACGCTGGCATGAAGAAGGACGAGTACTGGCAGTATGCGCTGGAGGACCTACTCCACGCTGAGTGTAGTATAGGGGTTTTAGGTTTAGGGTTCAGGGTTTAGGGTTTAGGGTTTAGGGTAGGGGCCCGACTAATGTCATTCGATTCCTTAGTTTCCCCGTAAAAAAGTGTCACATACCCCAAAAGCCTGTTCCTAATTAGGATGGAGAGTTAAATACCCCAGAACCGAGAGTCAAACTTCCAGGGTTGGAAGATTAGGGATCTGGACCAAAGCTTGCTGCTCCGGACGGTTTAGGGGTTGAGGCGGTTCGGATCTAGGGTGCAGGGCTTAGGGGTTTAGGGTTTAGGGTTTATAGGGTAGTTTGGGTCTTTTGGGTTTGGAGTTTGGGGGTTTGGTAGGTCAATTCGGGGCTTGGTACTCAGGGTTCAGGCTTCCGTGGTCCTCCACAGGTCCGTGGGGTTTAGGGTTTAGGGTTTCTCCAGATGCCGCGCCTACAGGGGTAAATCAAAGGGGTTCTGACACCCCTAGACACCGTAAGAACCCTAAAATCCCGAGAGCCTCAAACGCCTTAAGAGCCTTAAACTCGTAAGAACACCAAAAACCGACAAACCCTAAAAACCCTAAGAACCACGCCAGAATCATAAAAACCTAAGAACCCACAAAACCCTAAGCACCACTTTTCTTTTCAGGGATTCCGGCATCACTACGACAGGTTTCGGGTATAGAGCTCCGTTTCTTCCCAGGGTTTCAAGAAAGGCAGGTTTAGGGGTTTAGGGTTTAGGGTTAAGTTTAGGGTTGAGGGTTTAGGGTTCAGGATTTAGGGTTTAGAGTTTAGGGTTGAGGGTTTTCTTTCAGGGGCCTCTCTACTGTTGCTTAGGGTTCCTGAATGGACACTAGACTGAAATACGCCGCCCTCCCCCCCAACTCAATCACTAGCATTATACCATAATGTACACCCCACAAGTCAAGCCACATTCTAATTGTTAAGCTCACTGTACGCTAAACCCTAAACCCTAAACCCTAAACCCTAAAAAACTAAACCCTAAACCCTAAAAAACTAAACCCTGAACCCTAAAAAACTAAACCCTAAACCCTAAACCCTAAACCCTAAACCCTAAAGAACTAAACACTAAACCCTAAACCCTAAACCCTAAAGAACTAAACACTAAACCCTAAGCCCAAAACCATAAACTGTAAACCCTAAACCCTAAACCCTAAACCCTAAAAAACTAAACCCTAAACCCTAAACCCTAAACCCTAAACCCTAAACCCTAAACCCTATACGCCAGACCCTGAAGGATCCAGAAAGTAGATCCCCGAATTTGGGACCCTATACGACTAAGGGGTACTTTGCAGGAGCCACCTCAAGGGATCTACTTTCTAAATCCTCCGGTTTAGGGTTTAGGGTTTTAGGGTTTTAGGGTTTTAGGGTTTAGGGTTTAGGGTTTAGGGTTTAGGGTCTGGGTTATTGGTTAGGGCACCGTTCCCAGGGCCAAGAGGCCTATGATCGTTCTGAGAATACCAGTGGCTGCCTGACTTGCTGCTTGAGCGGGTTCGGGTGTAGCGGTTTAGGGCTTTGAGGGTTAGGGTTTGACTGGCCATGCTGCGCAAATAACGGATTCTTTGCCGACGCTTTTGTAGGACCCTAAACCCTAAACCCTAAACCCCTGAACCCTAAACCCTAAACCCTAAACCCTAAACCCTAAACCCAAAACCCTGTGAGCCCCTTTGCAAGACCTCGAACGCCCCACCAAGTCCTTCTAAAGACTGAAAGACCCTCTAAGCCCCTGAAGAGCCCTAACTTTAACTCCTGCCTGTAGCCGAAGAGACCTGGTTTTTATGGCTCCTTACTATGGATGCTATATATAGTGCCTTAAATTATAGTGCTCCTGAGCCCTAAACTAAACCCTAAACTCTAATAAACCCTAAACCCCAAACCCTAAACCCCAAAAAGCTAAACCCTAAACCCCAAACCCTAAAACCCCAAACCCTAAAACCCTAAAGCCCTAAACCCTAAACCCCAAACCCTATATACATCGTGCCTTAATGAAGGTAGGTCTTCTTAGGCCACAGTCCTCAGCCTCCCTCAAGCAACCTCTGCATCTCTAATATAGGGGCCTCAGTAATTACCTATACTATTTTGGGGGGTTCCTTGTTATAAATATAGTCTAATAGTATAATTTCCCCAAAACACTGTTCGAGTTATTAAGGCCCCTCTATTAGGCCTCTGTCTCGTTTTTCAGGACGCCTTGGACCTGATCGCCAAGATCCCGATCGTGGCGGCGAAGATCTACCGCCGCACGTTCAAGGCCACTCGGATTCGGATGCGAGAAGATGGACATGGTTTGAGGGTGGGTTGAAGGTAGGTGGGGCACCCCAAACGCGTGAAGCCCTGAACCCCAAAACCCCCTAAACCCCTAAAGTCCCAAACCCCAAAACCCAAAACCCTAAGGCCCTAAACCCCTAAAGCCCTAAACCCCCCTAAATGTTGAACCCAAAGCCCTATAATCCCAAAGAAGAGGCCTTCTACCAAGGGATCTTGAGTCCGACTTACGTACCTTCGTGCTTAGCAAGAATTCTTAAGTTTGGGTTACTATAATCCTTAAGAAACAGCTAAAAAGAGGCCTGAACAATTACCAGTGTCATTCCGAGGGTTCCTTATTCTATCTATACTATTAAGGAGCCCAAAACCTTATTCTAATTCAAGCCCACTATAGTAAAATCTTAAATTTTGTGGCAAGGGTCCCGAGTTCAGTATACATACGGTTGATGGTATAAATCCTGCGTTACCCAAAATACGGAAGATACCATAATTCCCATAGTCTAGGGATGCAGGGTTTATACCCTAAACCCTAAACCCTAAACCCTAAACCCCTAAACCCTAAACCCTACACCCCTTTGAGGCCCCCTCAGGAGTCGAAGAAGGTTTCAGGGCTTCAGAAACGCTTTGATAATTCCAGGGGTGCTATCACGGGGTTTAGGGTTTAGGGTTTGGGGCTTAGGGTTTAGGGTTTAGGATTCAGCGTTTAGGGTTTACGGGTTGGGATTCACGGTTTAGGGATTGGGATTTTGGGTTTAGTGCTTAGGGGTTTAGTAGGGTGTCACGTTTTCGTGAGGGCTTTTACAAGGGTGGCGTTTGTAGTTTCAGGTTCTTTCGAGGGTTTGCAGAGCAGTAGTGGGTATCGTAGAGGGTTATTCTAAGGGCCTGTGTAAGTTCGTAAGACTTTAGGGATCTTAGGCCGGAGCCGTGAACCATCAAATCCAATACCCTGAACTGCCTAGTAGTAGAGTATGTAATCTTCAACCGTCTCGGGGTATGATAATCCCTACATAATCCCAAAGGTTAACCTTTAGTTCCCATGATACTGGACAAGTAGGACTAGCTCAACTGGAAACAGTGAAAGTGAGAATCGATACCCTAAACCCTAAACCCTAAACCCTAAACCCTAAACCCTAAACCCTAAACCCTAAACCCTAAACCCTAAACCGCTGTTCACGAATCTGCAAGAGTTCAAGACTCTGGGACTTCAGGGTTGGGAAGAAGATTCTGGCTTGAGGATTGAAGGGTTAGGGTTTAAGATGTTAGGTAAACCCTAAACCCTGGGTTTTCAAGCTTTAAGGTCTAAAGCCCAGGGTTAAGGGAAGCCAGCGCAGATTATCCGATGTCTGGCGTATGTACATCTGTTGTGCGGGCTGTTACCGTCGGACAGACTTCCGAGGTGGGCCACTGGGAGAGAGTTTGGGGCGTCCGGCGGTGATCTCACATGTTGTCTCGATCCCCAAGACCACAGTGTTACAGCAAGAGGTCTTTCGCAAGATTACACCCAGGATCCTAAACCCAAAACCCCTAAACCCTTAACCCTTTACCCCTAAACCCCTAAATCATAGGTGCTAAACCCTAAACACTCACTCCGAAGCCCTGCGTCCTAAGCGCTACACCCTCACGCCTAAACCCTGGGCCCTAAACCCTAAACCCTCACCCCTAAACCCCAGGCCCTAAACCCCAAACCCGAACCCCTAAACCCTAGACCCCTAACCCTAAACCCTAGGCCCTAAACCCTGGACCCCTAAACCCCTAAACCCTAGGCCCCAAGCCCTAGGCCCTAAACCCAAGCCCTCAAGCCTAACCCCTAAACCCGAGACCCAAAACCCTAACCCCTAAACCCTAGGCTCTAAACCCTATCAACCCTAGGCCCTAAACCCTAGGCCCTAATCCCTAAAACCCCAGGCCCTGGGCCTTAAACCGTTATTACACCGAGGACGGCGTCGTCCCGGAGTACAACCCCAAGCTGGACTGGTCCGTGGCTGGGCCGCGCCGTTACGTGCTTTGGGGTTTCGTTACAGGAGCCCTGAAAGAGGAACCCGCGAAGGAACCCTCAAAAGGAATTCTTCAAGGAACCCTTAAAGAGGAACCCTCAAAGGAACCCTTAAAGGAACCCGAAAATTGCAGAAGCGGTTGGAGTCCGCCCTGGACGACAAACTCAGGCCTTCACAGTACGGGTTCCGAGCTAACCGCTCCACTTCACAGGCGATACACATCGCCCACCGTTTGCTGGAACGCGCTGAGCGTTGTGGGTCCACCCTGTATGTTCAACTCCTTGACTGGTCGAAGGCCTTCGACGCGGTCCACCCGCAGGCTGTGGCTGTTGCCCTTCAGCATCATGGAGTAACCCCGGACTTCATCCGCATCGTGGAGGCCATCTACCAGAACCCCACTTTCACAGTCCGCACCGCGGGCCAAACCAGTCAGCCCTCACAGGCAGGCCAGCTCGGGTATCCGACAAGGCTGCCCCCTCTCGCCTTACTTCTTCTTAGTGGTCCACAGCATGATCATGATGTAGCTCCAGCAAAACGGCCAATCGCTGCCTTAACTTAAAGGAATTGCTAACAGAATCCTTAAAGGAGCCCTTTAGGGTGTTCCTTTAAGGTGTTCGGTTCAATTGCAGGTTCCTTTAGGATGTTTCAAAGGGTTCAGGGTTTAGGGTTTAGGGAATGAGGGGCCTCAAACTCCACTTATGGGATCCTTAAGGGAGGGGGTTCTAAGAGGGGTATATAACCCAGTAATCCCCCAATTCTCCCTAATTAGGGCTCCCTTAGGTTCCCTGAAGCTCCCTAAGGATCCCTAGGACCCTCCCCGCTTGAACCACACTTTCTTAAGGATCCGATAATCCACTCTGTACGGTCGGAACTCGGGGTCTGAATTAAGGGTAAACCCGAAAACCCTAAACCCTAAACCCTAAACCCCAAATCCTAAACCCTAAACCCTAAGCCTTAGTTATTATAGGCTCGTTTGGATGGATCTATAGGGCTCCTTTAGAGGGATCTATAGGGTTCCTTTAAAGAGATCTATAGGGTTCGGTAACTTAGTTCTCCAATACCCAACCTTTCAACTTTTTGGGGTTCTTATTATAAGAAACGTATAACTTGGAGTAGTAATCTGAAAGTGTAACCTTTTATTTCCCTGGTTTCTTGCGGAAGTAAGTAGCGTTCCCTCCAATATGCTTATAGAATGGCTGCCCTACACTAACTACAGTAGAATTCTAGTATAGCATATCTCCAAAGCCTGCTCCAATTATTCGGGCCCCGACATCAGGACTGAATCAGGACCTTCTGGTCAACCCTACCCGCAGGCAAAGACCACGGTAAACCCTAAAACCGAACTTCCCCAAACCCAGACTTCTCTATGGGTTGAGATTTAGGGTAGCCCTAAACCCTAAACCCTCAACCCTAAACGGTACGCGGGTTGAGATTTCGAACCCCAAACCCAAGCTTATCCGTGGTTTAAGATTTAGGGTTCGGACTTCGGAGTGGAATGTGGAGTTTCGGTCTGCATTTGGAGGCCACCCTAAAACTTAAACCCTAAACCCGAATTCCCCGACCCAGAAAATTGAATCCTAAAACCCCCTAACCCTGAACCCTTAAACCCTCATCCCTTGGACGGTTATCGAACCTAGAACCCTTATAGGCACACTTTAAGGGAACCCGAAAGACCCGGAGTCGTCAATCGCCTAAGCCCTCAACCCTAAACTCGTAAACGGGTTTAGGGGTTTGGGTTTAGGGTTTAGGGGTTTAGGATTTAGGGCTTAGCGGTTTAGGATTTAGGGGTTTAGGGGTTTAGGGTTTAGGGTCTAGCGTACCCTAGACAAGCCCAAGGCCAATTTTGCTCAGATGTTGGGCATCAACTCGGACGGGTAGTGCAGCAAGGGCTCCCTTCAGGGTTCCATGAGAAGGGTGGAGGGTTTAAGGGTTTAAGGGTTCCATGAAGGATTTAGGGTTTAAGGGTTAGGGTTTAGGGTTTAGGGGGTATCGGAAATCATCCCACCCACCCAAGATTCCCCTAGCAGAGCATCAGCATTAGCATTCTTTTTTGTTAAAACCCTAGCCCCGAAGCCCTACGCCCCAAAACCGTAGGGCCTAAAGCCTAGGCCCAAAGCCCCAAAACCCTAAACCTAAACCCTTAAACCCTAAACCCTAAACCCTTAAACCCTAAAGCCTAAACCCTAAACCGCAAAACCCGAGGCCCCAAGGCTCTGAGCCCTAAACCCCTGAGCCCCACAACCCCCAGCCTTAATGTTAGGGTTTAGGGGTTAAGGGTTTAGGGGTTTAGGGTTTAGGGTTTAGGGTTTAGGGGTTTAGGGTTTTCCTTAGCTCCAATACCCAACCTTCAAACTTCTTGGGGTCTCATAACTTAGTAGTAATCTGAAAGTTTGACCTTTCATGTCCGTGGCTTCTGGGGAAGTAAGTAACCTTAGGCCTTAAAGTTCAGCCCCGAGACCTTAGACCTAGAGCCCTAAGCCCCGAAAACCCGAGGCCAGCCCCAACAGCCTAGGACTTAAAAGGGTTTAGGGTTTAGGGTTTAGGGTTTAGGGTTTAGGGTGTTTAAGCCCCGAAACGCCAAAACCCTAGGCCCAGCGGAAAGACCTGATTTTTTATGTGGCGAAGAAGCCCGACATCGCCATTGCCGGATAAAAACTAGGTGTGCCTAGCAGAAACACTTTGGTTTTGTAATCCGGTACTTGCGAAAAAAAGCCTGAACATCGCCATTGCCTTATAAACCTATCCGGGACTAACGACATATGCAAGGGATGTTTAAGTTTAGGGTTTCGGGTAAAGGTTTAGGGTTTGGGGCTTTCGGGTTCCATGAGGGGTGCCAAGAAGGGCTTTAAGAAGGTTCTATAAGTTTCCTTTACGGAATCTGTAAGGGTTCCATAAGAGTTCGTTTAAGCGTTTTACAAGGGTTCCTTGAGGGTTTGTTTAATTAATTGCTTTTGGCCCCTAAACCCTAAACCCTAGACCCCAAACCCTAAACCCTAAACCCTAAACCCTAAATCCTAAACCCTAAACCCTAAACCCTAAACCCTAAAGTAGCATACCTCCAACCTACACCCTAAACGGTACGGGGGTTGAGGTTTAGGTTCCTTTAGGCTGCTTGAGAGCTTTTGGAGTCCGCAACTCGAAGCTCTAAGCCGTAAGGACTAAACCCACGGGGGCTTCCATAATCTTAGGGTTTCGGGTGTACGGCTTCCGTAATCACGAAGTCGATGAATCGCCGATGATTTTGCGGCTTCAAGCCTGTCCAGGGCATTCTACAGGGTTTAGGGTTTAGGGTTAGGGTTTAGGGTTCAGGGTTTAGGGGTTCTTTCTGCGATTGCGAGCAGGGCTTCGGGTGGGGTCTCTTCTGGGGCTCCGAGCACGGTTCGAGCTGGACTCCGAAGCTGCGACATCAAGGTGGTGGCTTGGAATGCAAGGCAACAACGACCCAGACCAATATTATTTAATTAAGGAATGCTTGTAGGATCCTTAATATGATTTAAGGTATATTCCTTAATCAAGGGATATTGGAGTCTCTGGGGCTGCACTGGCAGGAACTACCAGAGCTCATGCAAGCGTGTTTTTATTTCTTTGAACATCGACAAAAATCGATTCGGAGAACTGCGACTGCAGTCGTGGTGCGGCTGTCACGTCGGACATGGCCTACCACGCAATTCGGACTTGGGTATACCCTTTTCCTGCGCCTCACAGCACAAGACGAGAATGCAGTTGTGGGAGCCATCAGCAAGCAAGACCGCTTGCACGTTTTGGCTCGCGACAGTCTGCAAATTTGTCAGGCCAGCGCCGACGGCAAGAATTGCTTCATCGATTCGATCACGATTGCTGTGGCAGCTCAAGACTTCGTACCAAGACAGCTCCTGTGGGATGCTGCAGCGCGACGGATCGGCCTGTCGATGGGATTCCGATTAGGGCTCCTTCCGTCAGGGTGCTCACAAACCCTAAACCCTAAACCCTAAACCCTAATCCCTGAACCCTAAGCCCTAAACCAATGAGTTCGATTCCTTTGAAAGATTCTCCTAAGCTTGACCAGAGAATGCTCGAGCCGGAGATGAAGAGCCCTTAACCTTGAACCTTGGGTACTGCCCCCATACACTAACAGCCTATAATAGGGCTACTATTAAGGGCCTAATATAACAATAATATAAATATTATCCAACTGTTACTGAGTGGGGGCAGTACCCAACTTAAACACCAAACCCGAACCCTAAACCCAAAAACCCTGAGCACCAAACCCTAAGAACCCTGAAACCGTAATGCCCTAATGTTAAACCCCAAACCCCTAAACACCTAACCCTTAACACCAAAAAGCCCAAAACCCTACACCTGCAGCCCTGAACACTAAACCCTAAACCCAACAGCCCCAAACCCAAAGCACAAAGCAGGACGAGGGCTTCAACGAGTGCACACGGCTTTACTTGATGCTGCATGCCGACCACGCCAGGGCCCCAGGTGCAAGAAGTAGGAACTGCGGGTTTAGGGTTTGGGGTTTAGGGTTTAGGGTTTGGGGTTTGGGGTTTAGGGTTTGGGGTGTGGGGTTTGGGGTTTGGGGTTTGGGGTTTAGGGATTAGGGTTTGGGGTTGAGGGTTTAGGGTTTGGGGTTTAGGGTTTAGGGTTTGGGATTTGGGGGTTTCGGTCGGGTTTCGGGTTAAGGGGTCTAGGGTTGGGTCTGGGGTCTAGGGGTTCAGGGGTTTGGGTTTAGATGGGTTTAGACGTTTCAGGGTTTAGGTTTCGGGATTTTGGGTTTACGGGTTTGTGGTCTAGGGTCTAGGGATATGGGGGTCTACATAAATCGAAACACTATTGTTACGGGTTCCTTTGTGTCTTGCTTTTTTGTTTTTTGTTTTTGAAGGGGGGGGTGGTGGCGGTGCGGGTACATGAATAGAAAAAACACTATTTTACGGGTTCCTTTGTGAATTGTTATCTGTTTTGGGGGTTGGTGGGGGTGGGGGGTGGCAGTTGGGCTTGAGTGTTGTTGTCTCTTTGTGTTGCGTCATTTGTATGTTCACATGTCTTTTTGTGTCATCTGCCTTAACTTGTCTGAAACAAGGCTTCATGATCCACATAAGTCATAAGCCCGGCAAAAGTTTCTTGAGTTTAGGGTTCCGGGTTTAGGCTTGTAGGAACTAGAGTTGTAGGGATAGGGTTCCAGGATTGCTGGTCGTTAGTCGTGGCCCTGAACCCTAAACCCCAAGGCCCTAAACCCGAAACCCTAAATCCTAAAACCCCAAACCCTAAACCCCCAAGCCCTAAAACCCGAAACCCAAAACCCCCTAAACCCTAAACCCCTAAACCCTAAACCCTAAACCCTAAACCCCTAAACCCTGAACATCCTAAACCCTAAGCCCTAAACTATTCGAGCTCCGGAGCCCTTGCAAGGCCCTGGTGTGCTTGTGCCAAGCTTCAGGGGCTCTGAATCCCCTAAACCCTAAACGGTTTAGGGATTGGGGTTTAGGGTTTAGGGTCTAGGGTTTAGGGTTTAGGGATTGAGGTTTAGGGTTTAGGGTTTAGG